CCAGACTGCATTTGTCTTTTGCCGAAGCTCAGACTCTGGCACAGGATCGGGAACATTGGAAGCACTGTCTAACGTGTCTGCCTCTGCGACTCGAAAGGAGAAGCGGCGATGGAAGAAGAAGAAGAAGAAGTTTGAGAGGGCATCGCACCTAAGTTGACATTAGGTTTCAATTGACACAATCCACGTATGGCAAGTGTCCTCCATGTTTATCTTCTGTTTCGAAATGTTTCTGCGTGGGGTTGCCATTAAGAGGACCGTCGATATCAAGACATTCTCACAAGTCCGCTTTCACTTATGACGCATGATTTCTTGTTGATGGAAAAGACAACCGGCGCATAGACAATTTTAAGTACTAAATCAATCTAATTAAGACAAAATTCGACCAATAGTCATCGACGTCAATTTGACCCTCAGTCATGTAGTCTAGGGTGAGGCAACGGTACAAGACGACATAAAAAAACTACGGAGACCTCTAATCATATCGTTCACTATGGTAACCACAGGAACATATGGTATCTATCTATCACTGTGGAATCAAAGTTCAATACGGTCGCCTAAGGAGGAAATCATATCTACGATGACGCAGCAGGTTTCTTCATGTCTCTGATGAAAATCCGTTTGTATCGAAAGCTCCATAAGAAAAATACGAAACTCTGTACCTGACGGATAGTGGGTAATGTGATATAGTGCTCTAATACTCCACTATATTTTTAACCTTTCTCGAAATGAAGCACTACTCCGTGGTACAGAGAAGAAACCGCCTCAGAAGAAGTGGCTCTGTCCGAGTTGGCTGAGGAAACTTCTGAGCGGGTACTGCATAAATTCTTAACTAAATTCTAAACTTGCTTTAGCGCACAAATGTCACGGCTTTTCCAGCGTGAGGGTTTCTTGCTTCATGCTAATTTCTAAAGATATTGTCTTCGAGACGGAGAATATAAGGCTCTATAATTGGCACCCGCACTGTATCTGTAGAACCCGCGTTATTTCAATTTTAAAGCATCTGGCTCCGGCACCAAAAAAACTTGTAGGTACAAACCTGTTGGCTGCCTCGAGCTTCCGTTCGATGATCGGGTCGCCGACGTGGCACCTGAGGCGCACGAAAGCGTTTACGCGACTGCCGATGTTGATGTCTGCCCTACGAATCAGGCGTTGTCCGCCGAGACTTTCCTTTGCTTCTGGATGGTAAACGTAAATGTACAGGTTGCAGTCTGCGTCTGAGGCGAGGAATCCGAGTTGACTGTTGTCGACGACGAACTCCAGCGCCAGAACTTCCAGTTGGCGTGCGTCTCGACTGGCCAGCGACAGCGCCTTGCAGTTCTCCTGGTACCTAAGTAGCGAAATGCCGCGGAACACGTCGCCAACCAGCGCCAGGTTGCGCACAGATATCATCTGGTGGATGTAGATCTGCAGGTCGAGGAACGATATACCGACCAGGTCGTTATCCTTGAACGACCAGATGTATACTTTTTGACCCATACCGGTCAGCAGGTATCCTTGGATCGAGCATAGGCTGGTCACCGGTCCTTTCTGTTCCTTCGAATACAGAATTTTCATGCGATGCTTCGTTAGCGGCTGGTCCGGCTCCGGCACCACCTCGATCACCTCGACGATGAATAACCGACCACGCACCAACACCTCTTCGCCGTAATTATGAATAGTCCCAAATGCTAAATAATTCTGCAAACCACTGACAGTTCCTTCGGATTTCAGCTGCACCTCCTTCGACACAGTGACATGCTCGAACTCCTCCATCATAACTTCTGTATTAGGTATTGCTTCCCAAGTTTCAGGCGAATACAACTGCACTAAAAGACAAAGCAATACAT